ACTCTTTCCTGCAACAGATTCCAAATTCACTTTATCCTGATGATGCCACTGCATAAATATTCAAAACCTTGTGTGAAATTCTAAAGGGCTGTGGAACTAAAGCTCAGAAAGTCCTGCACTCCATAAAATGTGCCTTATTACATGAGCATAGATTCACACTCCCCACACACACACTTCTTGTTTGTTTGTTTGGGTTATTCGGTTTTGTTTGGGGATTTTGGTTTGCAGGTTGTTTTGTTAGGGAGTTGGGATAAAGAGCTGTCAGTATATGAGAAAAGAGGGCCACAGTTCACATTTACCCTAACTGATCTAAGAAGCTGAAGAGCTGGCATCAGCTGACACATCAGCATGTAAATATGAGGTTTGGTCTTTTCCCATGGATTAGAGACAGAGTTCACACAAAGCAGCAAAAAAGTATCAGCAGCTCAAGCATCTCTTCACTACACTGTAAGACAGCAAGGAAAAACAACCCTGACAAGTACAGTACTTCAGAACAGTGGTGGCAATGGAGAGTTGCAGACCTTATTCAGCATGGAAGAAGAAAAGCAATACACAGTGTGGCATACTAATGATTGGGAACAAGAAAAATGCACCAGGTCTAGAGGAACTCCAGCTACATATCACTAAAAACGTGAAGCAATCCTGAAGCAACCTGCATAAGCTGTGATGAATTCTCCATCATTTGGAAATGTAAAATCAGAGAAGGTTTTTCACAGAAGACAGGCTCTACCCCTCCAGAAGTTACGGCCTAAATTCCAGGGTGGAGTTTTACTGGGCTGTGTTATATTTGGAGGGGCTTGGACCTTGTGAACATAAACATTTCAGACTGGAATGGTTTGCTGTGAGATGACACATAAGATTCTTCTGATAAGATCCTACTTAACTGCTCTAAAAGTAATTTAGCTACAATATGCCAGTTACCACCAAACCATCCTGAAACATGAACCTGCAGTTACAATCTTCCTTATTGTCCTTCCATGCCCAACAGAAGTATAAAGTATACACTGTCTAGTTGTAAACAGAAACTATCTTTTTGAAGTGTGGGCCTGGAAAGAAAACCAACACTGCTTTAATTGATTCATAGTAATTTTCGTAATAGATGACCCTTCCTAAGGATTTATAACCAGGAAATACATGTCACTGAGATACAATCCAGAGGAGAGTCATATTCTAGTAACACATCCAGCATTACAACACATAAAGCACCACATTTGCAAGGAGTTGGACAGCCAGACCTTCCTGAGGCTGGGTCTATGGGAGTAAATGTTATAGGTGACAGAAGCCTTAAACAGATTAAAAGGAAAAAGAGAAAAATGCAACAAACAGTCAGAAACTTTAGATTTAAGCAACTCACCTGAAAAGGAGCCTTTCCTGTCAGACATTGATAAATGATGGTTCCTATACTCCAGAGGTCAGCTTTGGCATCGTAGTGTTGAGACATAATGACTTCTGGTGCCTTTAGGGGAGAAAACAGAAATCTGTTTTATACAAGATGCAGCTTTTTTCCTTTCTCTTTTTTTATTAGCAGCTGAAAGGAACAGAGGTCACTATTATGTTTAGAAACTTAGATTCCACAGTAATCATGAAAGATATGCTCCTGAAAAGACAGTAACACTACCTTGAAAGGGTCAGTTCCCTATCTAAGCAGGAGAAGCAGAGACTTCCATTCACGCAGACAAAAAAAACACCCTGTGCTGTTCAGCTCATTTGGGCAAACTCAGTTCTTTCCTTCTTCTCAGTGTACCATTTTCTGCTGAAGTCACCTGTGCTCAGAAAAAGCCTCACTGAAATTGCACAGACAGATCTTCTAAACCAAAGCAAGTAATAGGTTTAGATCAAGAGCAGAAAAGGCTCACACTGAACAGGTAGGCTTCAACCTCCATCCTGATCTGCATCACTTATGCACTTTCCTGATCTAGTCCAAGATGGCAGCATATTAATTATGTTCCAGAGCCTCGCGCCAAGGTCGCAGTTTGGGTTCAAAGGCAGATCTGCATGGTTCAGTCCAACAGCTTGAGCCCTGCCGTGCCCCAGACTCCAGGTTCTAATCTCGCACCATGCCCTTGCTTGCTCCCTCCCAGGCCTGTTCCAGAAGCTGGATGGAGATGGTGCAAGTCCACCGCGGCTAAGAGGCAGTGTGCCTCCTGAGCAGCAGCAGAGGGACAGAAGCACAGGCTCGCTAATCCCACGTGTTTAGAACAACAGATTTCACTGCAGTGCTGCCAGCATGAAACAGGATCAATTTTCTAGCTCTGTTAGAAGTGAAGGACACATGTAATGGAAAAAAAATGGCAGCAAAAAGTTGTGGATGGGAGCTTGGTCTGTCCCTAAGGCAAGCAGGCATGACACTAAGCAAAGCCAAGGGAGCAGGACAAGAACTACACAAGGTGGTTTCAAGTCTTACATGGGTCATATGAGGGCTCAGACAGAAACCTCATTCTGGTGTAGGTAAAATACATTTCTTCTTTAAAAGAGTAAAATGGGCAGCAATGGGCAGCAATGGGCTATAAGCTAAAGCAGGGAATAAAGACCTGCCTTGCCAGCAGATGTTCACAGGGCTACTTCACAAGATCCACAGCAACAGTAAGGACAGACTTCAAATACCCCCTAAATCCCAGTTGAACCCTCCCTTCCCGTTCTCCTTCAGATCCATCAGTAAACAGAGAACAATAGGAAACACTGAGATTCCCTGTAATGTCCAGAGTTGTTTAAAATAAATAAAAAAATAAAAGAGAAAAAGGTCATCACCAGCTTCCTCCACCCTTTCAAAAAATAAGCTGGGTGTTTTCATTGACTTTCACAAGACTCCGAAAGAAAAAGTGTCCCTAAAAATAGATGATTCAGGAAACTCTCACAGAAGAAAAAAGTTACATCATCTTCACATATAGCATAGTTCAAATAAACATCAGGCTTCAAAAAAAAAAAAGGGAGAGAAAGGAAGTCTGTTTTGCTTGAGTTAATACTGTGGAACAGACTACCAAACACCCTATCCCTGTGCAATGCAGCAGAGTCCAAGCCTAACTCTGCCCAAAGAGTAGAGACAAAAAACCCCTTAGAGGGGATTAGACCACGTTCAGAATCAGATGCCTCCTGCTCCAGGGCACTTGTAAAAATGTCAACCTAAAATGATCCACATCATCTTTTTACTTTGAGCTCAGACACCCACATCCCTTGGAACTATTACATGGCTTTGACATTTCTATTTCTGGCCTGGTTTTGTCATCTTTCATTTCACTGACTTGATGAGACATCAAGATCTTGACTGCTGCCATGAGCACAAACAAGAGATCACCTCCTCACATCCTGGCCCCAAGTGGAAAGTACGAAGTGGGTAAAAGGGATCAGTTTGGGGTTTTTAAACACATCTGTTTCACAAGCTAAGAAGTCATCCTGGAAGCAGCTGGTCTGGTGAAAGAATTAGTGGGAGTGGGTGGGGTGTGTTAGGGAGTGGAAATGCACAAAAACACAAACTGCAAATAGAAACACACTTAGGAATAGGTTTGCCAAAATGGCAAAGCCTCTGCCTGCAAAGGTTCATAGACCTGAAGGGACTTTGCAAGAGCAAAGAACTAAAAACAGCTGGAGATTTTACAAAGCTGCTGTCAAACAGGGACCTTTCTCCTGATGCTGTGAGCTTAGCAAAAATGACTGCGAAGCCCAAGGTGACAGGAGATTTGTGGAACCGCTCTGTCTCCAAAGGGCCTGCTGAAGCAGTGATTTATTGAGGTTCCTCACCAAGGTATCAACACCTCAAATATAGTCAGATGTGTGAAATTATCACCCTGGCCCTCATTCTCTTCTGTTGTTGCTTTGCTCACTGCAGAGGAAATAAATTTCACTTCCCAATGCTTTCAGTGGAGAGGCCCTGGTTCCCTCTGGAAGATGCTGTTTCTGGGAGCAGAGAGCAAACAATACTCTGTTTTGTTTGGTACCATTTATCCACAGCTCACCTGAAAATTACGTAACAACACAGGCATCTAGAACTTTATGAAGTCTCCTTAGGTAACAGCTGGTTTCTGACAAGTAAATAAAATTTCACCTTTGGGGAAATAACTAGGGAAAAATGAAACCTTGCTTCTTCGGGGCAAAGCAAGAACAATACAGAAAAACTTGTAGGCAAAACACACTTACCATGTACATTGGTGAACCACACAGTGTTGCTGCCATCATATTATTCTGCAGGTATCGGGCAAACCCAAAGTCAGCTACAAAGAGAAACACAGGTAGGTCAGGATCAGACGGCAGGTCTAGAGAGCCTGCACCTTCTCCAGTTGATTCCCATGTCTTCCCTCTTACTTCCCAAGAATCTTGGCAGCAAGGGCAAAGATTAACAGAACTTTGAAAGCTCTCTTCTCAAGCAGTCATATCCTTGTGCTAATTATTAATGCACAGACACTAGAAAAGGTCAGACCAAGCCACAAAGAGTATTCAGAAGAACAAACTCCCATCCATTTTTCAGGTATCAACAGTCACTTCCTCATGTACCCATTTGCCTGCACTCCAAAATACCAGCTGCTGGAAGCTGGGAAAGCTCTCTTGACTTCAGTGAGAGTGTGTCAGTTCATATTAGCTACCTCATCTGCTGCTATCTCAACTTTTAATTTGGGGAACTGAAAGTTCCCCTCCATTGAAAAGGCTGCAATGTAACAGACATCCAAGAGAAACCACCACTCACCACCAACCCACATTTCTAGACCAGCCCATCTGAAGAGTCTTGCTCTGTTCCTTTAGAAGAGTTTCAACAGTGCTAACCCCAGTACAAGGACAGAAAGCTGAGCCATGGTTCACCTGGCAGCCAGAAGAGCCAGGGACAAGGAATACCAAGATGAATTACCTCTGCAGGTTACTCAGCATCTGATCGTATGATACTGAGAGGTTCTCTCAAGGTTACCAGACATTTCAAGCTAGGAGCCTGACACAGCTGTTTACACTGTCATCTGTCACTAGTGAATTGGTACAGCTAGCTATTCCCTGGACCATGTTCTTCCCAGGGAAGCAGGAGGGAGGGGTTGCAGGGTACATCACACCCAGGAGCAGCCATGCCCACAGCCCTCCTGCGTGCACTTGCAGCTCCCTCTTGGCTTCCACCTTCTAGATAACACTCCACAAACAAAATAAGGGGGGAGGGACCCCAAACAAACAAAAAAAAAAAACCCAAAACAAACTAACAAAAAAGAAAGCATCAACCCAAACACAAACAGGGCTTCAGCCAAACTTTTAATCTTTTCTGCTGGACCTCATTTCTCAGTTGAATGAAAGCATTTACACTTTCTCCACAGCACAGGGTTCAGGTAAGGAAGAGTTTTATCTAAGTGGTGTCAGCTTCAGCTTGTGAACTGTAACATCATCAAAAGCCCACATGTTGAGGGTGGCATCATCCAGCACTCGTTTCTGAGGGACCAGAGGGGATACGGGTGCTCTGGATTTCTGGAGCATTGATCTGACCAGTTCCAACTACTGGTCCATCTGTGCCACTTGCCTAATGTGCAGAAAGTGAGTTTCTTTAAGATGCAGTCAAGAAGCCTGCCTCTAACTGGGACTGTGGCAACGCCTGCTTTTAGGTGTGCCTGACTCCCACTGTGCTCTCCAAGGCCAGCCAAGAGAACTGCTAGTTTCAGGCCATAAGACACCAACATCTACCTCAACACTATTAAAAGCTGAAGACAAAAGTCAGTGCCTGCTCATTTATCGGTAAGCCTGGAGATTACAAGCCAATTAGGGCAGGCTGGTATTTGTTTTAACCAAGGGAGGCACCGTTCAGCTGAAGTGGAGCAAGGCCTGCCCAATTCTTTTGTGCTAGTCTGTGTCCTGGCAGAGCACAAAGCTCTTGCTCCTATTGCTTGGAGCCAACTAAAGGTTACGTCTAGCAGAGAAACTACGCAAGGAAGATGAAAAATGTTAGGATGTTTTTAAGAGCAGCAGCAATTCTTCCCTTCTCCTACACAATTCCCCAAAGAAAGACTGAGGCTTGCCACTTATCCATCACCAAATCCTCCCGAGAGCTCTTAGTACGACGTTTGTAACGGGGTCTTACCGATCTTTATGCGAATGTTGTTGGGATTTGATTTCCTGCCTCCAGCGTAGGAAAGGAGGATATTCTGTGGTTTCAGGTCCCGATGGATGATGCCTTTGCTGTGCAGCATTTTCATGGCACCTGCTATCTGCTGGAGAAAGAGCCTGATGGTGTCTTCGCTAAGTGTCCGCATAGCTAGGAAGGAGTTAAAAAACAACCACAGATGAAAACCACTGCAGTGCTGGTTCTCCGAAGAGCCCAGAGGGCAGTTTCTCCACAGCAATTACCCATAATTTGTCATTTTTATTTCCACGTATGCTGCTTTTTCTCCACACACTATTTCTGCATAATTCCTACAGGCAACAAGGGAGAGCATTTGCATTCCCAGCTTATTCTGTGGTCAGGGCTGTTTCGTCCCCGAGTCTCTCACAGTGAACTCGGGCCAGTGGCAGATGCTGAATCTGGGTTATTAACTTGGTCCAAAAGTGACATTTGGTGAGGTTTAGACTTCCCTCCACAAGGGCTGCCATCAGATCAAGGCATGCACTCCTGTGGCCCAAGGAGTTGGAGGGTCACTACCTTTGAGCTATGGTTGACAGCAGCTGGATACCTAAGGTATCACAAAGACTGCATCTAAAGGTGGAGCTAAGAGGAAGCCAGGGAGTTAGGATTAGGGTATGTGCCTGCAAGAACCATTAAGGCTCATGCTGGGCCTGGAAAGGGCTCGTAGGTTAAACACATGGCCAGCAGGATCTGTAACTGTGGGATATGAGTCCAAGTCTAGGCCTAACCCTTGAGCATCATCACCTGCCAGACCAAACCATAATCCTAATCCCAAACGCAGTGTCAGGGTGAACCAGTCCGATAGATAACAACATAGCCCTCCCCTCCCAAATGGCCCTGCAAACTGGCATCTGACACACTCCATCTTGCACCCATAGATGCAGCAAGAACATCTCAGAATGCTTTCATAAGCAAATTAAAATACATAATTGAAAAAAGTCAGTGAATATGGAAGCTCTGAACTGCCCTCTCCTAAAATATGGGCTTCCCAAGAATTGTGGTGTGAAAATAAACACTGAAGGGATTAAAATAACATTCAACTGGCTCTTCTAATCAGAGCAATGCAACATTAGCTCTCGTTATTTTAAAAGCTATAGGTATGAAACC